GCCCCCCCCCCCCGAAGGGCTGGGTCCAGCTCTGGGGGCATCAACAGCAGAAGGACATGGACCTGCTCGAGTGGGGCCAGAGGTGGTATGAGATGCTCGGGGGGCTGGTGCACCCCCATGTGAGGACAGGCTGAGAGAGCTGGGGGGTTCAGCTGGAGGAGAGAAGGCTCCAGGGAGACCTTAGAGCCCCCCTTAAAGGGGCTACAGGAAAGGGGGGAGCGACTCTTGATCGGGAGGGTAGGGACAGGATGAGGGGGAACAGTTTTCAACTGACAGAGGGGAGATTTAGATGAGATATAAGTAAGAAATTCTTCTCCATGAGGCTGGTGAGACCCTGGCACAGGTTGCCCAGAGAAGCTGTGGCTGCCCCCTCCCTGAAACGGTTCAAGGCCAGGTTGGACGGAGCTTTGGGCAACCTGGGCTGGTGGAAGGTGGCCCTGCCCAGGGCAGGGGGTTAGGAATAGATGATCTTTAAGGTCCCTTCCAACCCAACCCATCCTGTGATTCTATGGAAGGGAAAATAGCATTTCTGAAAAATGAAGGGGAGGCTTAATGACCACCTGTGATTTAGCTCAGAACATATCCAAATATGAACAGCTTTTATTCCAAGCTGAGGACCTGCTAGAGTTTAAAACTGAAATCAGGAACCCCTGGGAGCGTATCTCACACAATGAAGGCAAGAACAGCTATCAAAGGCTCTCTTTAAGCAGAGACCTGACTGAACAGACAGAAAAGCTGCTTGCGTCTCCAAACACAGCAGGAGCGCTTCCTTCAGATGCTGCCTGGAAAGCAAAAGCATTCCCTTCAAGCAAAACTAATAATAATACTAAAAAAAGCCCAACCCTGCTCCCATCTGCAAGGACAGAATTTGTCCCTTGATTCAGAGAGGGACTGAGGCCCATTTCAGAAGAAATTGATACAGGAGCATTAAAAGTAAATAGTAACAGTGTCCATTTTCTCCTGAAACTGCCACACAGAGAACAAAAAGCAGTGAGACAGACCAAAGAGCAAGTCAGAAGGAAAAGCCAAGAGCTTCTGATCAAACCAAATCACAAAGACCAGCAGAGGCACGTGACACACACGCAAAACCTTGCTGCTGCCTCCTCCACAGCACGCAGCACGGATCAAAGGCAAACCTTCCCAAACTGCCACTCCACCAGAGGAACAGAGCAAGAAATCTTGTGTGGAGTCAGGCCAGTTTATGGAAGAATTCAGTCCTGCAGCTGCAGGAAATGTGAGGACCAGACACCATGCCCCAGGGGATCCCTTCCTCTCTTGGGCTCCTATGAGAAGCTCGATTACACATGTACTTTAGAAGCAGCGATGTTTACTTATCCATCGTAGCTCCCGGAATTGGGAGCCTGGCTTGGGCTATGCCCAGTTTGGGGAGGAAGGTCTTTGTGCTCCTCTCGCAGCTGTGAGGGTACAGAGGACAGCAGTCTGCCAGCAGACACACAGAGGAGAGGGGTTTGGAGAGTACCTACATCTTCATTCCAGTCCTCCGTGCCCCATTCTTCCGTCGCTGCCCTCCACGCACCTACAAGGATAACAACAGGTAGAGAAGTTAGGCTTGCATCAAAGCTCTACCTCCAAGAGCCAGGGAAGCACTGGGGAGCTTTGCAAGCAGCTGAGAGGATTTCTAGTTGCCAACCAGACAAGTTAAAGCAGTCGATCCCAACCCACGAGTCACAGGTAAGGTACCTGCGATGGGATTGCCTCAGCCAGGTGAGGCTGAGAGAGAGGGGCCACTGGGCTGGCAGCTAGGGCAACACACACCCCGGCACCCAACAGGGAAGCTGAGCTTGGCAAGGAAGCCCCGGCATCGTCCCCAGCCTCCTTGGGCCATTTGCTTGATTTCCCCTCCTACTGCAGTAGCTGCAAGTTTCTGCACCCAGGAGCAGCTAGTGTTACCCCAGCAGCTCGGACAGAGCACCTCCTTTGTGGGCTTCCTGCCAGCTCTCGGGCAGGACCTCACCACCCAGTTAAACCTTAAGTTTCTATAAATCCCAGGGACAACTGAACCATTCACATGGTTCATCTTTCCCTCACCCCTCTCCCCCTCCCAAAAAATGATGAAACCTGACTGCACCAGGACGTCCTGTGCATAGACAAATGGGAATCAGAAAAGAAAAATCAAGGGACTTAAGCAATTCCTGCATTTTGCATGACCAATTTCAGAGATATGCTCAAAGTGAGTAGATTAAAATTTCAGGGAGAAAAGCATGAGATTTCAGCCGCAATACAGCACAATTTGTAAGAGAACAAAAATTATCAGGACAAAAAAAAAGTTTCGCCTGGCCATATCTTCAACTTGTTCCGTCCTTCACTTCCATCACATTTTAACCTCTGTACTTTAAATATTATGCAGCAACTTCTGAATCCATTAGACAACATAAAATTCGGTGTGGGAGGACAGCAGGAGCATTTTACATCCCCAAAACACTCAAGAGTGTAAAATCAGCCCCGTTTTGTGCAGCTTGTTTTCAGATCAGCAAAACCCAACACAACCAACAGGGTTAATCCTGGAGACGTTTACAAGGACAGAACAAGTTGGCATCAGCCCTTTTATAAGGCAAAAGTCTTTTACAGCATAAAAACAGTACGTGGGGAATGAGAATACTGTGGGTTCTTCTGCAGGACACAACCACGCTCGCTGAGATTTTGAGGATTTATGAGATTTATACCTTCCCATACAAGCTTTAACTACGAGGCCAAAACATCCAAAGTACTGCTTGTCTGGAAGGGGGGGTATGATTTAGTGCATGAGTTAAGTTTATTATCAGTGAATTATTTTTTCATTGTTGTTTTGTTGGGTGTTTTGTTTTGCCTGAGAAGCTGAGCCAATTCAAGAAGCCTTCCTGGATTATTATTTTTTTAAATTTAAGTTAGAAATACAGATATTAATACAACATGACTTCCTTAAGGGCCAGGAGTCTCAAGGCACACTACCCCTTCCTCCCTAGCCAGAGGCATCAGGAGTTCAACACATTCAATGCAAAACACATCTGGGGTTTAAGACCCCGGATTCCACCATTCCTTAGATTTTGTGTGCCCTGACAGCAGGGACAGGAAGGCTCCTTTCCAGATTTTCATGGATCAGAAAGATCCTACCAGCTCAACCCTTATCCAAGAGGTGAAGCCTGAGCTGGAGTTACCTTGGTCAGCTGTGGCTGGCAGGGGAGAGCAGCAAGCCAGGAGAGTTGCTCCAAGCAGAGTTTGTGCATGTAGGAACACAGCACAGGGCTCTGTTTTGCTTGCTTGGGGGAATGAGAAGAAAAGCAAAGCAGCAAGAAAAGCAGAAGGAAATCCTGCAGATGAAGAGCAACCATTGACGGGGCTTTTCTGGCAAGTCTGCTCAAGTACTGGACACCTACTGGGCATGGCTTGTGCTCCTCGCACACAAAGGGACAGATGGAAAACCAAAAGACCTGTGATTCACCAGAAACGCTCCAGAAAGTTTCCTAACCAGCAGAGCACGTTTTGTTTTTTTTTCAAGAAACCAAGCGTATCGCTCCATCGAGTGCTTCCAAGGGGAGAGCTGCAATGCAAGCGACTCCCTGACACTTGTAAACCCATTTCAGAAGTGTCTTCTGAGGGGCAATCCCTCCTCTCTGCTTTAAGAAAGCTCTTCAAAGAGCTGCTGGCCTTTAAGCTCCTCAAACCAGGAAAAGGGAAAAAATTAAAAGTCAATAGGTGTTTGCAGATAAGAATATGCTGAAGAAAAAAAAAAAATCCCATTGTGTCTTGAAGATCGATTCCCCCCCCCCCCCCCCCC